GGGAACAGTTACATTGTAGCAACCACGGCGGTGCCGGGCGCAGACTCATCGGGGTGTCACTTTGCCAAGTATATAAATGTCTAATCACTATGCTGTACACCTGAAACTAGTATAATATGGAAGATCAACTAATTGAAGAATAAATAAATTAATCACCACCCCCCTTAAAGAAAATACGGTATATCCACGAAGACTAGAACCACAGACAGCGCAACTTGAAGGAAAAAGTCCAGTGTCAGAACAGCATGTACATCATATGATACCTTTGGGTTAAAGCCCATCCACCAACAGGGACGTGCGACTTCGTGGGGAATATCTGAGGCAGTTCATTAGGGAGACAGGGATCTGAAGAGGCCTTGGAGGGCTGGCTTAGCACCTCTGGAATCCCTGTACCCCTTTGCTGTCGTGTATTACTGTTGTGTTGCAGGTTCGGTGACGACATGGATCAGAGCAGGTCACAGGGCGTAAGGAGAGGTTAAAGCAGGGACAGCTACGGGCAGGGCTGCCCCTGGGGAAAGGGTTCAGGTAACGGCTGGTGGAGCAGTTAAGTTCTGTGCAGGACTTAAGGTGACAAGGGCATTGTGCACGGTCCTGGGTCACCCAGCTCCTTGGCACAGGCCTGGGGAAGGAAACCACTCGGGCAGAAATGGCAGGAAGGGGAAGACATTTGCAGTCAAGAGCCTGACTGGCTCTCCTGTTGGCTGTCACATGGGCTTGGCTTGGTCTTGGAAGGAAAAAAAAAATCAAAGAATGGAACCTTCAAAGTAGGACTAGCCCTTCATCTCCCACTGCGGGTTCCTGGTGAGTACCCAGGATCTACAACAGACTCAGGAACTTAGTAGGCATTTAATATTTGTGACCTTATGAATTCGCCTAAAAGCTCTAAGGACCAATTTAAACAAGTTCCTCTCCCTTTTCCCCCTACTAACCAGCTCCTGTTCATCCATCAAGACCCCGAATAAATGACCCACCTCAGTAATCCCTTCACAAGGTCTTTAGTCACTCCCCATCCTGTGCTTTTGGAACTTGGTTCCTGTACCTCCTACAGCACTTAGTCCCCTCCGAATACATTGCATAGGTTGGTCTTAGTAGGTGGGAGAGGAGAGCTGTGACATGGCCAGACAAAGGGGCAGGTGGCAGGGTCTGGGCAGCCTTACATCAGCTTCTGTATTTTGCAGGTTGGCTGTCTCAGCTTGACGCACAGGGTCCTCATGGCCCACTCGTTCAGGACGCTGCCACTGAGGTCCAGCTGTTGCAGGCTGGGGTGGGTGCTGAGCACGAGGCAGAGGTCTTCCCACCACTTGCTAACCAGGGGCTTGGTCTGCATCCTGCATCGGAGAAGGAAAGAAACATTTGCTTCCACGGGATGGATTTTAACAGATGGCACGCGAAACACGAGAAAAACCGTGAGCGGTACGCAATGTGCTAAGTGTCCCCACCACGCACACACGCCCAAGAAGAGGTAGCCATGCGAGTGAAGGACACGCTCATTAGCTTCACCGTGGCGACAGCCGTCTCAGAACACCCATGCCGAGCCGGGAAGGAAGGAACTGTAGAGGGGCACTCACCCGTGCGGAATCACGGGCCACGCCTCGGTGGACTCGCCTTCCGGGAGGATCTCCCCGACATCCATCTGAATTTCCCGCAGGTGCAGGCACCGCTGGAGACAGGAGGACGACACCAACAGGTCCATCGGCCGGTTCATCGTTAGCTTCACTTCCTGGAAGCCGTTCAGTGCCAGACGGACAAAGTCTTCATCTTGGGTCTCGAAGAGACAGTAGAAGGCGTCCAGGAAGTCCAGAGGGGAGGTGGTGTCGGCCCGTCGGCCCAACAGGAAGACCCAGTGGAGGAGCACGCGCCTCACCAGCAGGGTGACCGGGCACCCCAGCAGGCCCTCCAGGGCCCCCACCACGTCTTTGTTCATGAGGCCAAACAAGAAACGTTTCACGTGGAGCAAGTGGACGTTGCAGCTGATCTGTTGGAGCTCCTTCAGACTCTTCGTGTTCTCCACACACAGGGCGTGGGGATCCCACTCTGCCTCCGGTCCTTCTAGCACGTAGTACAAGGCGGCAAAGAACTCTTGCAGGCTCAGGTGCAGGAACATGAAGCACCTCTCCCTGCCGCCGCCTCGGCGAAGGATGTTCCTGCGAAACAGAGGGGAGAGCTCTGGCTCCGTCAGCCCGTGGACGCCCAGGTCATCGCTGTAGAACACAAACCTCATGGCCCACACGCCCTGCAGGGCCATCCGGCACACGCCCTTCAACACGACCCTCTCCTCCGGACTGAGGTGGTGGCCTGGCGTGTCTCGAGGGGTGAGCTGATGGACCACGAAGGCGGTGTACAGGCCCGTGAGGGTCTGGCAGTTCGGGGGCCGGCCCTTCCCCGAGGCCGCCTGCAGCTCCAGAGCCTGGCAGATGAGCCACCACGTGATGGACACCTGGCACCTCTCGATCAGCGTGTGGTTGTCCAGCAGCTTGTGCAGGACTTGCGTTTTCTGGTCCCCGTTCTTGACGTGCTCGAGGAAGAACCGGATCCTTCTCTCCATCGAGATTCCTTCCACGAAAAGGCAGTGGGGAGAGACGAGCATGGATTCGAGCTTTTTCATGCCCTCGTCCCTGATGGTGACGATCAGGGAGGACTCGGGCAGCAGAGCCTTCCTCAGCAGACTACGCATGAGGACAGACACGGGCTGCTTCTCTGTCCAGTCGACGCAGACATCCGTGTCAGCATCTTTGAGGGCACAGACCAGGTCATCGAAACCGTCGACCACAAACAGCAGCCTTTCTGGTTGGGACATGATCTTCATCACGGGGGCCACGGAGTCCGGCCACTCCCTGGAGAGTAACTCAGCAAAGCTGCTTTTCCTCCTCGACGGTGTGTCTCTGGCGTCCAGGAGGAAGGCGTAGGAGAACACGCCCGGGTGGAGCTCTCCGTGGGCCCAGCGCAGCAGGATTCTCCTGGCCAGAGCCGACTTCCCGGCCCCTGAGCTCCCGTGCAGGACCACGGTGAGCGGCCGGAAGCCCCGCTGGTCTGGCGTGAACGCGCCACACAAGGTTTGCATCTGTGGACAATCCGTGGCAAAGGTTTCAAAGCCGGGGTGGGCATCCGATGTCACGGCGAACTTTGTCATCAGGTGACGTTTGTAGTCCCCTTCGTCACCTCCGTGGCCTATGTCGGACCAGAGAGGGGAGAAGAGAAACAGGAAACAAATTGGAAGACTGTGGATTTCAGACACTCTATGTACATGAGGCTTTGTTTCTTCTCGGTGACTTACTGTTATTATTCCTCACCAAAGGATATGTTTTTATTGATTTTTTGAGAGACAGAGATGGCAAAAAACCAAAACAACCATGAGTAAACCAGAGTTGTTTACCTTGGTCTTTTGTCTGTGCTGCTGTGGTGTCATCTTGTTCCATAACTTGTGATATTTCTGCAAAAAAAAAGGCAGAAGAATAAAATCCCACACACTTAGGTGAATTATGCAGGTCAGACCCACAGAAGCCCCGAGATGCAGTTTGCAATGCCAGCTTTCACCGCCTGACCCACCCGGAACCATGGGCTCAGCCGGAGGGGCAGGGGGTGCTTAAAACGAGCACTAGGGTCGAGAGGGAAGGTATGGGTCCTGGTCTCATTTCTGCTTTTTGTTCTTCGGAGACCTTTGGGCAAGTCATTGAAGTGAGAGGTCAGGCACAGGGGTAAAGAACTCGGTTGGCTGGAGGGTCGTCCCGTACAGCAAAGGGTGGCGGGTTCGATTCCTGGTTGGGGCGTGTATGGGAGGTAACTGATTGACCCCCCCCCTCTAAAAATCAGTGAAAAAAAACAAACCAACAAACCTATTTTAAAAAAAAGTAGTAAGGGTCTGGATCAGACAGTTGAGTTTTGTTATTAATCTTCACCCGAGGATATTTTTCCCATTGCTTTTCAGAGAGTGTAGAAGGAAGGGAGGGAGGGAGGGAGATGGGGAGAAAAAGAGGGAGAGACACCGACTGGTTGCCTCCCCCACGTGCCCCAACCAGGGGCAGGGATGGAACCTGCAACCCAGGTACATGCTCTTGACCGGGAATGNGAACCTGCAACCCAGGTACATGCAGTTGACCGGGAATCGAACCCAAGACCCTTCGGTGTGAGGGCTGACACCCTGCCCACCGAGCCACGCCATGCAGGGCCGATGGAAGTTTTTAAAAGATCTCCTTGCTTGTTAGTGTGGGGAAGATGGATTTCATGTAACCAGAGTGTAAAGAGATTAGAGATTCAAGCGAGTTGATTCTGATTTACAGGCTCCGGGAAGAAAGGGGTGGAAACGAGTCCTCCTTCAGAGTAGGTCTCATGATTTACTGATGCGTTAGGTAGAAGGTAAAAAAAGAAAGAAGTCAGTCAACCAGTTAATCAGAAATAGACTAAAAAAATGACCAGGCTTTGGTGGCTAGTGNGGGGTGGAAACGAGTCCTCCTTCAGAGTAGGTCTCATGATTTACTGATGCGTTAGGTAGAAGGTAAAAAAAGAAAGAAGTCAGTCAACCAGTTAATCAGAAATAGACTAAAAAAATGACCAGGCTTTGGTGGCCATGCCCTGGACCCAGACAGAAACCCTTCACCCGGCTCCCCATGCTGACCGGCACGTTCGTCCCTGCTTGTCCCCTGGTCAGTCTTCACAGGTGTAGAGTCTTCTGGTGTCTCAGCCTGTGAACATTCTGCAACACAGAGCACATGGCAGGACGCTGGCCGCAAAGTCACAGCAATGGCCCTGACCAGGTGGCTCCGCTGGTTAGAGAGTCGTCCCCGTGCACCAAGGTTGTGGGTTCGATCCCGGTGGGGACACATACGAGAATCAGCCAGTGAATGCATAAGTGGAACAACAAATCAATGTTTCTCTCTAAAATTAATTTTAAAACATTTTTAAAGTGTACTCCCCAAATTACTGAGGGGAGCAAGACGAGCCAGTTCACCCCATGACAAGCCTGTAATGGGGACAGTGCAGTCAGAGCCTCAGGTGACACCGTCACAGAGACACAGATTTATGGGAAGGGTGCTCAGATTTTTAAAATGTTTATTTTAGAGAGAGAAAGGGAGGGGAGAGAGAGAAACATTGATACATCAATGTGAGAGAAACATTGATCAGTTGCCCCCAAATGCACCCCAACCGGGGATCGATCCCACAACCTGGGCATGTGTCCTGGCCTGGTGATGGTCCACCAGCTGAGCCACCCTGGCTGGGTGGGAGTGCTCCAGTTTTCAACTTGGGAACATAAGTTTCAGTCCCTATTTTGCTGATAACCCACCATTGGACCCGAGTCTCTCGGTCCGGTACGGCACCAATCCTCTGAGTGAGGTCCCACCCGAGTGGAGCTCAAACCTCAGTCCCTCAGCCCGGGGCAACCCCCACAGCTCCTCAGTAACCAGCTACACCGCTTTGTTACCCACTTTCTGTTTTGCTAATCCTCACTGAGGGTAGTTCTCCCCACTGATTTTTAGAGTAGAAAGGAGGGAGGAACATCCATGTGAGACACACACACATGGGTCGGTTGCCTCCCCAACCAAGGACCAGGGATCGAACCTGCAACCCAGGGCTGTGCCCTTGACCGGGAATCAAACCCAAGGCCCTTCAGTGTGCAGGCCGATGCTCTAACCATGGAGCCACACCAGCCANCCTTGACTGGGAATCAAACCCAAGGCCCTTCAGTGTGCAGGCCGATGCTCTAACCACGGAGCCACACCAGCCAGTGCTCTCTACGCCATCTTATCAAACCTTCCCAGTGGCCCCTATAAGCATCACAGCGACTGTCCCAGGACGTGGAACCCGAGGGTCAGAGTAGGAGGGGACACACCCGAGTCACACTACGCCAAAGGGTACATCCAAAACTCAAGCTTAATACGTAGTTAAGACTCCAAATCCTACTAAGATCAACCAAATTCTGCCCAGGTGGAGGGTCCTTCTACTGATTTCTCCTTTATTTCACCGGCTACAGATGACACCAATTCCCAGCCAGGCGGAGACTCAGCACTGAGACACTGCAGGGGTGCGCCCTCCCGGCTCCCATGGCACCTCAAGACCCCCCCGGCTTCTCTGCTACCCCCTGGTCGGCCCCACGTCTCACTTTCCGTCTCCTCCCTGGCTTTCTGAGAGAGCGCGGGCAGGCTCATCTCCTGGAAGATGTCCGCGGCCGCCTTCCAGACCAGAGGCCCTCTGCCGCGCTCCTGCAGCAGGGAGGCCAGCTGGTCCACGCTCGCACCGTCCACTTCCGCCCACGGGAGGGGGCCCGTGGCCGGTGCCAAAGCGCGCTCCTTTAGCAAGTCCTTGAATGTCCGAAACTCCTCTTGGTCCAGCTGCTTGAGACACCCCTGCAACCCGCAGCCGGGGAAGGGCGGCGCCCCGGCTTCTCCCATCTGAATGTGCGGCCTCCGAGGGCTCCCTGTGGATGGGGAAGTGGTTTTTGGTTGTGGGGAGCAAATGGGGCCTGGGGGAAGGGGGACAAGATTGAAAGGACAGCCCGGCGTCAAGTGGTCACATTCACTTCCAGGCTCCCCCTAAAATGTGAACTGGCACAAACACCTTTGAAACACAGGACAAAGAAAGCATCGTAGAAGGAACCCTTCCAGCCAATGAAAATGGTCGGCAGTTCAATTCATTGTCCAGCCCGTGTGGCTCAGCAGTTGAGCATTGACCTAGGATCCAGGAGATCGGGGTTCGATTCCCGGTCAGGGCACAGGGCAGGGTTTCGGGCTCGATCCCCAGCAGGGGGCGTGCAGGAGGCAGCCGATCAATGACTCTCATCATTGATGTTTCTCTCTCTCTCTCCTCCCCTCTCTCTGAAATCAGTAAGAACATATTTAAAAATAATAAAATGAAAATTTTGAAGAAAAGCAAANGGGCTCCATCCCCAGCAGGGGGCGTGCAGGAGGCAGCCGACCAATGACTCTCATCATTGACGTTTCTCTCTCTCTCCTCCCCTCTCTCTGAAATCAATAAGAACATATTTAAAAATAATAAAATGAGGAAAATTTTGAAGAAAAACAAACCCACACGAAACCGCCCCAAAACCTGGATGTGGCTTCCATTTGTACTAGAAACCGATGTAGCCACAAGTGATAGTGATGCTCAGTAAGAATTCCAAGTGCCAAGTTACAAAAAGCCAAAAATAGACCATAAGTACTTTCAACAATAAAGATAAACATTAAAATATTCTGGGGAAAATACTTTGGCTTCATCGGGCCAGCAGGTGCCAAGTCTGATGTGCCAGGCTGGCCACGCCCACCCTGCTGGATGACTTGCTGCTTGGTTGGGGGCCAAGAAAAAGGGGCTCCTGCATTTTGGGTGGACGTGCCAACTGGGCCATCTCTTTGGAGGGCAGCTTGGGAAGATCCATGCACTTCAGATGCAAGTCTCGCTCGACGCGGGCTTGTTTGCAGCAGCAAGACCAAAGGCCGTTTGGGTGTTGGTCACGAACAGGTGTGTCCCGGTCAGAACGAACTCAGGGCCGTGCCCACTGCAGCCTTGTTTACAGCAGCCAAGGCCTGGGGACACCGGTGCCCATCCGCAGGGGAGTGGGTGAAAGAGCTGTGGGACATCCGCCCGTGGAATACCACGCAGCTGCGAAGATGGGTCCCTTCCCCGGACACAGCATGAGGGCCCTGGAGGGGATGATGCTGAGCGAAGTGAGCCCGGCAGAGAAAGACGAACAGCACAGGATCTCACATGCGGAATCCAGGGAACAAAATAAAGTGAACAAAACAGGTCCAGAGACAGACTGAGGGCTCTCAGAGGGGAGGGGGTGGGGCAGGACAGGTCAACCGAGGGGCATATGTGCATAGACGCGTAACCCACGGACACAGACAGGAGTGGGGT